TCATGTAGGAGATGAACATTGTCATGCAACCTTGCCTCAGCCCTGTTGTCTCTCAAATCTTTGTGCTCATCTGAGCAGCCTGTTATATTTCTTAATAGCTCCAAGTAGTTTAGGACATGCCAAGATCTGTCAGTGTCCCTACAGGTAGGATCTAAGCACCTAGATTTAAGCTCTCGAAGCCAGATCCATAGTCAACAGCGTTTAAGAGCATGCAAATATATATAGTCCTGTTGGGTCACATGTATAAACTTCACTTGCTAGGTGATCTGGCAATGTTTCCTGTGTGGCAGTTGCAAAAATTGGGGCTCCAGATGAGTGTATAAGCCCTTTTCTGGGAGATACCAGTGAGCCGAAGCAAGGCAGAGAGGGAACACCAGGATGGTATGCACAGCCTGCATTCCTTCAGGACAGCTCCATAGTCCACTGTATGTGTTCCAAACTTGAAGTCTTCCTCTTTGACCAAAGCTGCAGGACATAACAAGCAGAGAGTCCTTCACAGGAGGACTGAGTAAGTGCCTCTGTCTGCTCCCTGCACAGTGCCCTGGGAATGACAGCCTGCCAAGAATGCTGTCTCCAATTGCCGCAGTCCTGTGAGGCGCAGAGCCAGTGATCAAGGAATGCTTCTGGGTGGCAGCTGCAAAAACCAGGCCACCAGTTGGTAAAGCTCCCCTACAGGAGACACTGGCATTCTAGAGTGTGAGGACATGAATATAATGCCTGCTGTCCAAGGTCTGAGGAAAGGATTATAGTCACACCTTGAATGTGTGTTTAATTAGAAAGCTACCCTCAAGTTAGAGCTATGATGATTAAGCCTCTTCCACATAACTACTGAGCCTCTTGTGTCTGTTGCCTCTTATGCTGCGGGCAGGGGGAGCTGTTTAAAAAGTCTTTCTTAGTTGGTTGCCCATGAGTATAATGGAAGTGACCCCTGTTACCAACTGCCAGAATTGGGGCACGAGGCAGAGGTATGAGCTCCTTTCTGAATGACACTGACTATTACAGTCCTATGAGACCAGGAATGCAAGTGCCCCTAGTCTCCAGAGCCAAGCAGTCAATGATCATTCCCTGGGCAGCACTGCAAAGATGGGCCACCAGATACACATAAAAGCTCCCTTCTAGGAGAAATGGTGCTGTGGAGCATGGCAAAGGAAGAGCGCAAAGATGGCTTACGCCAGTCTCTGTCTCAAGAGAGTATTCTCGCAGGGTCTTAAATGTGTATATTAAATTACATGTCTGCCTTTAAGGCCAATGCTTTAATAAAAACAAGTCAGCTTCCTCTGAGCTGAGTCCTGGAGCAGGTAATTCCAAGCTTTCTTATCCAAGCTGTCTTGGGGGTCTCAGAACATGAGCTCTGTCGGTTTTCAAAGTTAGATGTTTTGGGGACTTGTCTCTCAAGTGCAGGTCCTAAAAGATGAGGTGCGCAATGTAGGGTTCAAACCTTTCACTTCTCAAGGAGAAGCTCTGGGTTTCAAGTTTTCTCCTGATGTGGGTCTCCATGTCAGGGTGGGTTTTATGGTAAGATTGTTTCTCAGCCTCTGCTATCCTCTTCATTGTGGTTTTCTTCTCATTTGCATTATGTGTAGTCATCACTCAGCCCTTCTTTAGGATCTTTTTAAGCACCATTGTTCCATATGTAGCCAAGACTCAGTGTGTCCATGGGAAGAGGTAAGTTCAGGATCTTCCTTGGATCACTATCTTGAACCAAACTGGAATTTGTGGGTTGTTGTTGTTGTTTTTAAGATTTTTATTTAATTTACTTTTAGACAGAGGGGAGGGGAGGGAGAAAGGGCAAGAAACATCAATGTGTGGTTGCCCTCTACTGGGAACCTGGCCCGCAACCCAGGCATGTGCCCCAACTGGGAATCGAACCAGCGACCCTTTGGTTTGCAGGCCAACGCTCAGTCCACTGAGCCACACCAACCAAGGCTGGAATTTGTTTTCTAAGCCACTGAGTTTTTGGTAGCTTTGTTACAGCAGCAATAGGAAACTAATACAGGAGGCAAAACTGCAAATTTAAAGTGTCGAACTACAAATTGTCAAGGAAATGATTATTACTAAAATCAGTGTATTGGTTCCTCTTTTGGGGAGGGAAGGGGTTATGTTTAGGAAGTGTAACATTGATGCTCCTAGAGTTCTGGCAGTATTTTATTTCTTTGAATGCATATATGTTTTATGCAGTCTTTGAATACATGAAGTTACTATGCATTGTTTTTATAACCAGAATAGGAGTTTCATTCTTAAAACTTTTTTTTCACTGAAGTTTTTTTTAAGGTACTTTTTTTCCTCTCTTATCACACTTTTTTTGGCTGTAAAATTATTTCCTCCTTGTGGAAGTATGGCAAAATTATCCTTTATAAACCAGTTGTACTTTGCATATTTTTCATAATATGATCTATGACCCAACTGACTAGTTTAGCCTCTTTCATGAATTTGTAGCATGTGAAAAAATTACTCAGTTAACATAAAGAAGAAGCTACTTGTCTTCCCAAATTAAAATCAAAATACAATTTAAATGGGAAAACTTATAAGAATTATTAGTCAGAAACTGAGTTCAAAAGGAGATTATGTCATAAATTAGCTAATTATTAAAAAACTAGGGAGTACTTGTTTATTGAGACGCATTTAAGTTTAGTGTATGGCTTGCTATCATTTTTTTTCCCCTCCCTGGTATGGGTACAAAAAGAAGATGGATGTCATTTGTTTCATTTTTCTGAATTTTTAGGTAATGTAGCTTTATAATACAAGTATTTGGCAAACTGACTTTTAATAGTCCCTTTAATTTGTTGCCTAAAGTTGTCCTTTTTTGAATTAAATTTAAATATTTAAGGAACAGTTTGCAATTGAATTAATTTCTTAATTTTATTCAACTTGTAAAATTATACAAATAAAATTTAAATAGGAATTGGTAAAATAATTCTTGTTGCACTTCATATTAAAGAAGTTATTTACAAAGTGATTTGGTAAGACATCCTTAGTACTTGATGTTCTCTATTACTTGAGCTTTTTCCTAATGATGACATTTTGGCATGGTGGTAGTAGACTTTCCCCATTTCAGTTAATAAGTAACACTTCAGGGTAGAGCAGCTCTGGAGCTCACAGGCTAGTGGGACCTCTCGGGGGTATGTGAGGCTGGGGTCCAGGTGAAAACAGAAGGCCAAAATCTATGGGGCAGTTATCAAAACCTGAGTCCTCAGAACTGTGCCTGGAGGAATGGGACAGTCGAGGGTGAAGTAAGTTGTTCCAGAGCATTGTAGAGGTCGCTGCCATTATTTCAGTGTTAATTCTAGCAGTTTGACCTGAGCTCTATGGATAAGGCAGGGTATGAATGGCAATGGAAAATAATTCTCTTAAGGGAACTCCAGCAGCAAGAAAGAGGATTAACAAAGATTATATCTAGAAAAAGTGTCTTCAGTGAAATAGAACTGTTGGAAGAGGTGACAGGTTTAACAAGCAAAACAAATTATTAATTTGTGCAGAGGATGATGATTGTTGAGACTCAAAATCATGATTTTGGAACATTAAGTAGAAGAGTATATCAAAACAAAAAATATATAAAGGAGAAGGAGCACATTGAAGGGGTACAACAACTAAAGATTAAAATAAGAGGAGAATTTGTCTGGTTTAGAGAAGGATTGAAAGAGCTGACTGAGTTTCAGACTAGAGTGTTGGGGGTAGTTCAGAGACAAAGAACAAGCTGCTTACAGAGGAAAAATGATCAGATATGTGCTGGACTACTCAGTGTGACACTGGAAACTGGAAGGTAGTAAAATAACATATACAGGTTACTATGAAAAGAACTGTAACTATTCCTAGCGAAAATGTCATTCACTTGGTATGGTGAAAGGAAGATATGCAGAAATTCAGGTCCTCTATTAGATAGAGGGAAAGTTCTCAGTAAAAGATTCTCACCAAATAATTGGCAACAGAGACTTTTTAAGATAGGGCAGAAGCAGAGAGAGGACAGTAGAGAGCAGATGAATCGCATAGTATATTTTATTAAATCTAAATGGGTAGTGGTAGAGTGATTGTATTTCAGCACATTTCTTTGTCCCCTGCATTTCCTGAAAGTTTGCAGCTGAACCAGAGGTTTGATTAGGCCTAAGTTCTTGTCCCTTTAGCGAGGAAGACTGTGATAGTCTGTTCTTTTAGTGGGAGGCATATAATTTCTGATTGTCTCTTTGTAAAGATAACAGCTATTAATACTCAATTCTAGATCCAGTAATTTATTGAGGCTTGCAAAATTGATGATATTCTACCATTATTTTTCATTTACAGCTAAAAAATATATAGATGTGCCTCTTTTCTCTTTGGATGCTCAGTGATACATATAAAGAAGGCAAGATAAATGTTTGATTTTTCCCCTTTATCGGTTTACAAAATAATGAATCGGTTCTCTATTACTTTTTGGGAGTGGAAAGGGATGTGTCATTAAATGCATATGTGATTCAGTATCTGTGATAGCGTTCAGTCTATTACAATTATTATCTTAATTGAAGCTCATATTGTCTCATTTTTGACCAGTGGGAGCAAAGATGGTTCCTAAGTTCTTTGACATAATCCTGGTCATCTTGACTAGTAAAGAAAGGAACAGTATTTTTTTGTTTTGTTTTGCTTTGCTCTTTAAAAACATCTCAGGATATTGTCTGTGTTTTCATGAAGGCAGAATTTAGGGATCCATTCATTTTCTTGGATATTTGGTACTTAGTATGATCTTTGATATAACTTGTAAGGCAGTATGCCTTAGAATTTGTGTTACTTGCAACAAATAATGGCTTTATTTTTTAGTATATGTAGAGACTCAAAAGGAATCAGCATTTCCCAGGAATAGGTATAGAGGCATGAATTAAAATTGTTTATTCAATTAATTAATAAATATTTGAATGTTTATTCTGGATCAAACCTTACAATAGGACCTTGTATTCACACATTCACAAAACCTGCTTATTCAATAAAATAAGTTGCAAGGATTGATTTTAAACTTAATTTATTTTTTCTTTCAGATCTGTCACGAAATCGCCTCTCAGAAATTCCCGTAGAAACATGTCAGTTTGTTTCTCTTGAGAATCTCAACCTATACCAAAATTGTATTCGGTATATACCAGAGGCAATTCTAAACCTACAGGCTCTGACATTCTTAAATATTAGGTAAGACATTGTTTCCTTTTTTTTTAACATTTGAATTTATGTGGTCTTTTCAAATTTCTGTTCCCTTTCACTAAAATTCATATTATCTATTCATATCAGCAATTTCTATACATGTTCTTAGGCTAGCTCAACAATATTTCCTATGCCCCTCTAGTTTTTCCCTCTGTCTTTGCAATCAGGACAAACTCTAATAGCCATTATCCTAATAGGCTTGCAACAGTCTTGTAGCAATGGTTCTGCAATGACATTTTCAGATAAGTTTCATCAAATGAGAATAGTATACTTGTAATTACTTTGTTTGGTTCTTGTGATTATGTATTTTTGTGCATTCAGTTGTGAATATATAAATACATCAACTCATCTACTCCATTTTTTGCACACCTTACAAGAATTATTCTGTTATTTTATTATAAAAGTTATGAGTGCTCATTGGAGAAAATGAGCAAATGAAATATCCTTTGGGAATATTTTTATATGTAATCATTTTATTGTATAGTTGACATACTTCTAAAACTCATTTTACCTCTCATATACTGTAATGATGCTGCAGGAAGGAGATTACAAACACTTTATGTTTATAACTCTTCTTTGGAAAGAAGAGAATGATAGTTATCTACTCTATTTTTAAATCATTTTCTTACATAAATTTAACTTCATTAAGATAATATATTGAGCACTTTATTATTGACAAAGGTGTTTTATGGTGCAAGAGTCCGGTAAGACAGGTAAAGAGATGCTAAGATTCTCAATTTACAAATGAGGAATCCATATAAGATGCAGATAGGTTAAATGCTGTGCCTAAAAATTACAAAGTTGACAAGTAAGGAAATGTACGCTAGACCTCAAATCTAAAGTTCTGTTTGTTCTTTGTAAGACTTAATGTTTGTTATTTTACTGAGTATACAATGGCAAAGATGGAAATTTTTTTCTTCAGTAGTGAGCTCTGACTCATCTCTTTTTTCTGCTTACCTATTTTAGTCGGAACCAACTGTCAACACTGCCAGTGCATATGTGTAATTTACCATTGAAAGTCTTAATTGCTAGTAATAACAAATTGGTCTCACTTCCAGAAGAAATCGGACATCTCAGACATTTAACAGAACTTGTAAGTTAATATTTTATGCTTTGATTGTCCCACATATGTATCTGTAGTCATACTATAATCTTTTATATGGTAAAGGTCCATTATTACGGTGTGTTTTTGAGTTATTTTCAGGTATTGGTAATGAAGTTTCACTAGTTGACCAGGACTCAAGTGCTTCAGCACAGAATTAAGAAGGAACTGAAAGTACAAGTCTAACAGGCTCACAATGAATAGGCAAAGGTCATCAGAATTAGGTTCTCATCAGTATTAAGTGATTTCTATGTTATTAAACTTTTGAGGTATAAGTTAATAAGCCATTTGAACTTTCCAAATGAAATCTTGTTAATAACATCAGTACTCTGATTTTTGGTTTAACCCCTATAGGGAAATGGACACTATGAAGGTCAGCCTTCTATTTTTTTTCCTTATATGCTATATATTCTATCTTTATTTCTTTTTAAATTTTTAAATCATGTTTATTCTATTACAGTTGTCTCAGTTTTCCCCCCTTTACCCCCCTCCACCCATCCCACCCCACCCCCCACTCCCACAGTCAATTTCCACTCTGTTGTCCATGTCCATGGGCCATTCTTTGTTTAGTCCCTTCTCCTTCTTTCCACCATTGTCCTCCTTCCCCATCCCCTCTTATCACTTTCAGTCTGCTCCAGGTCACTGTCCAGAGCCAGCTGAGGTGGGACACCGGACTCTGAACCCTGCAGAGCCCATCCTGGGGTTGTCAGGGATGGGGGAAATAAACATGAATTGTCGCAAACACTTCTCTGTTTGCCAGGAGAGGGGGCGTGGCTCTTCCCTCTAGTGGAGAAGGCCCTGAGCCCCTTCTTCTAAAGGCTTTTATTGAAAGGGTTATCAGTGGGGCTCTGTAGTACGAATGTCCAGGTGATGTCATTACATCAGTATGTTAATGTTTACAGAGAATAGATGATGTTTTGAAGAAAACAAATGGCAGGAACACATCGATTTACAGGGATCCAAGAGGAGACTAGTAAATATGAGAGCGTAAACATGAGAGTGCCAGAGGGTTTAGAGTAAGGGTCTGTGAACAATGTAAATTTCCTTACCAGCATGAGCTGGCTATCATAGCTCTTGAGGGAAAAGCAAAGCATGCTTTAAAGAATTTACTCCTAGGCCTGATTTCCCCTGGGAACCGCCAGATCCAGTTTAGGACTGTCTCCAGTATTGTTTCAAGCCTGAGCCAGCCAGGGGGAGGAAGCCGCCAAGAGACAAGGTTACTTCTTTAAGATAGAATGAGGACCCCAGCCATATTCAAGGCGAGCCGAGGGGTGCAGGCCTTTTTGCCCTTTCTCCATGGCCCCCAAGTTTTTGTCCTGCTGCCCATTTTGGCTGTGTCTGGCTTAGGTTGTCCCTTCCATTGAGGGATCTTACTTGTCATTGACTACCAGCCATCACAGGGCCAAGCATGGTGATGTGAGGCACAGGTTTTGTCTCCTCAGTAGCCTGTTACCAAATGCCTTCTTGATTTTTTCCAGCCATGGGGCCCTCTTGCCTATCAGTGGGGCTACAGTTCCTGAAACCAGACAGGGTGTTTCCCAACGTTTCCATGCCTGTGGTTTATTTTGTTCATTAGTTTATTTTGTTGAATAGATTCCACTTATAGGTGAGATCATGTGCTATTTGTCTTTCACCGACTGGCTTATTTCATTTAGCATAATATTCTCCAGTTCTATCCATGTTGTCAAAAAGGTAGTAGTTCCTTCTTTCTTTCTTTTTTTTTTTTTCAATGCAGATTGGTTTTATTTATTTAAATGTCAACACTCATTATAAAATATTAAAAATTTTAAATCAATTATAAGTCTCAGCAATTAAAACAAAATACCACCACCATAGAAATAATCAAGTAGATCAGTGAAATAAAATGAGCATTCTAAAATCAAACTTATATATCTAACAATGAAATATATGATTAAATTGGTATTTCAAATCAGTGGGGAAAATAAGGCTTATTCAACAATATGGTGCATGGACCACTATTACTTGAAATAAAATAAATATAGAGCCCTGTTTCACACATTATACAAAAAATCAATATGTAAGGTCTGAGGAGTTTTAGGAGAAAAAAAACAAAATAATATTTTTCTTACCCTGAAGTAAGATATTCAAACCCAGAAGCTATAAAATAAAATACCAACAATATGACTAGATTAAACATTTAAGACTATATAGTAATGTACATGTAAAAAAAGATAAAGGATAAGTAATAGACTAGGAAAGTATTTGCAACACATCTAAAGAAGGGTTAATAGTTGTTCTTTTTTTAAGGGCATAAATTCTGCAAACATTTAATCAAAAAATGGATAAAGAATACCAAAAAAGTCACTTAAAGCTTTTTAAAAATAATAGAAATAGGCAAGAAGTATACAAAACCAGGTTTAGTTTCAACAAATAATAAAGGAACAATTAAAATAACATCATTGTTACAATCAGATTAATAAGTATTAAAAATATCAGTAATATCAAGTATTGGTGACTGAGAAAGGAACTGGGTGTTCATAGACTCTTTTTCTTCATCTTCTTAAAGCAGCTCCTTTAGCATATCTTGCGGTGCAGATTTGGTGCAGAGGTGTATTCTTTAGCCTTCTTTTGTCTGGGAAACTCCTTACTTCGCCTTCCATTTTAATTGAGAGCCTTGCTGGGTAGAGCAGTCTTGGTTGCAGGCCTTTGCTCTTCATGACTTGGAAGATGTCTTGTCATTCCCTCCTGGCTTGCAGTGTTTCTGTTGAGAAGTCAGCTGCTAGCCGTATGAGGGCTCCCTTGTATGGTACTACCTGTTTCTCCCTTGCTGCCTTTAGGATGCTCTGTTTGCTTTGATATTTGCCACTTTAATGATGAGGTGCCTTGGAGTGGGTCTCATTGGGTTCTTTTTGAATGGGACCCTGTGTGCTTCCTGGACTTGTGTGAATTTTTCTCTCCTCCAGTTAGGGTTTTCCGTAGTTACTTTTTCCAACAGGTTCTCTATCCCTTGCTCCTTTTCTTCCCTTTCTGGTATCCCTATTATACAGATAGTATTACATTTCAGGCTGTGCTGCATTTCCCTCAATGCCTCTTCATTCTTTTTGAGTCTTTTTTTCCTTTTCTTGCTCTTCCTGGTAGGTTTTTTCATACCTTATCCTCCAGCTCGCTGATTCGATCCTCTGCTTCATCTAGCCTGCTTTTGATTCCTTCAGCCGTGTTCTTCAATTCAGAAATTGTGTTCTTCATTTCCTCTTGTCTCCTATTGATAGTTTCCATGTCCTTTTTCATGCTGATAGAGTTTGCAGTAAGTTTCTCATAGTTTCCCTGTAGTTTTTTGTAATTGTCTCTGAGCTCACTGAGCTCGTTGGTCTTCCTTAAAACTGTTGTTTGGAACTCAATATCTGATAGTTGACTTGCCTCTATTTCATTTGGTTCTCTTTCTGGGGATTCCTCCTTTCCCTTCAACTGGGAGGTGTTTCTTTGTCTTCCCATTATTTGTGAGACTCTTCTCTTTTTTCGCATCTGCTTCTTCAAGTAGTCTGTCTTGACTTCCTGACTTTGTGGTGTGAACTTCTATGGTAGGGGACAGCTGTTTTTTCTTTCTGGATCTGACCCCGTCTGACCTTAGGCAGTCTGTTCAAGACTTCCAGGAATCTACTGTCTGTGGGTGTCTCCTTCAGTTGTTAACCTAGTCACTCTGCACTCAGCAGGCTGGCTTAGACACCACGGAGTGGGACAGAATCCGTCCTGGGGGCAGGGTTATTGTGTCCTCTCAGGCTAATACTGCCAGGGGAGTGGTCTGCCTAAGCGAGATGGCTGCTGCGTATGGGGGAAGAGGCAGCACAGGGATTCCACCAGTTACTGTCTCCATTCTTTCCCCAAAGCCTCCATCTCCAGTCTGTCCTCATGTGTCTCTAGACTACTGTGCGCCCCCTTTAGCCAGGGATCTACTATCTGTTGCTGCCACTCTGTACTCAGCAGTCAGGCTTTGGCACCACCGGGCCAGGGCCAAGTCCCTCATGGGGGTGGGGTTATTGGGTCCTCTCACACTGCTGCCACTCAGGGTAGTGGTCTGCCTGAGCCAGATGGCAGCTGCCATATGGAGGATGCGTCAGCACCCAGATCCCGCCAATTACTCTCTCAGTTCTCTCCCCAAGGCCTCCTTCCCCAGTCTCTCCTCAGGCATCTTTAGCCCACTCTGCACCCTCCTTTGCCAGAGACCAGGGTAAGTGGCTGCAAATAAAAATATATTCGTTGGCCCTTTAAAAAAGGCTCTTTGTGTCTCCAGCTGCCTGTCTCTGGTTGATAGCAACCCTGTCGCTTTTCACAGCTGGTTGTTATCTGTGTAGTTTTTGGGCTCTGGTGCTATCGGCTGGAGATCCCTGCTTATGGTTTAGACCTTGCTCTTCTCAGGGGGATCCAACTGGCCGTTTCAGTCTGCTGTTGCTACTACTCGTTGGTGCCCTGCCTGCTTTCTCGAGTCTCTACTGCACTCCTTACCAGTTAGGCTGTGCTAATGATGATTCTTCTGTGTGTACAAGGTTATAAGTGTTCCCTCTCCTTGTTGTTCAGTTGTTTGTTCCAGGTGATTTCTCCACAATTTAGTTGTAATTCCAGATTGTTCCAGGGAAGTGGTCAGTGTGACTTCTACTCATTTCTCTGCCATTTTGATTCTCTCTTTGTATGCTCTCTTTATAGCTTATCTCTGAATCCAAAGTAAGCTATTTTTTACTGCTTTCTATACCTAAGAATCTTAACCTTCACCTACCATTCCTTGTTACTCTTGAGTACTTATGTTCTGGGCATGGCAATAAGACTTTTTCTCTTTTTTCACCACTATAACATTATTAATTGACTGCTATAATTATCATCATATTACAGCTGAGGAAACTAGCACTCAGGTTATTTTCCCAAGTTTCCATAATTGAAGGAGAATTGAAACCCAAAGCCCGTGTTTCATATTTCTGAAATACTCAAATATAATTAAGCCCATTGAGATTTGGGAGTATAGTTCCATGTAGGTTTATTAACAAAGATGAACATCATAAAAAATAAGTACTGTACACATATACTGTAATTGGATCACTTATTAACTGACTTTTTCCAAGTAAATTAGGAATATAAAAGGTCATGTAAAAATTCACAAATACATTAAATCTAGACATTAGACCACTATTTATTTAGAGCCAATTATATCTAGGAAATAGTCCAAAAATACATGTTTGTTGGCATTTCTTCAGAGCTTGGATTAATAACATGAACTAATTGTAAGTTATACTCATTCAAATTCTGATTTTCAAATTATTAAAACTTTCTGTTTCTGCTTATTGAATCTTAAATACTTACAGATATGCCTTGGAAAAGGTGCTTTTAGCTTTCTTACAAAACAAGTGAATTGATATCCTCAGTTATACAAACAGCTTGTGGCAGAGTAAGAATTAGTAATCCTAAAGCTCCTGATTCCCACTTGATGGTCTTTCTGCAACATCCTCATTCATTTTTTAGTGAAAGTAAACTGCTGCTTTTCAGCATATATATTTTCTGAGAGAAATATTATTTTTAAATATTTCATTTATTTATTTTTAATGAGGGAGAGGGAAAGAAGCATCAGTATGTGGTTGCATTTTGTGCGCCCCCTACTGGGTACCTGGCCTGCAACCCAGGCATGTGCCCTGCACTGGAAAGAATCGAACCAGCAACCCTTTGGTTCACAGGCCGGCGCTCAGTCCATTGAGCTACACCAACCAGGGTTCCTGAAAGAAATACGATAGATTGCTCTTACCTTCTGGCTCAAGCTCAATTTTCCTACCCTTTTAATTTCTTTTAAAACCCTTTAACTTAGATGCCTAGAGCATTCAACTAAGGAATACAGTCTCTGATTCTACTTCAGTTATTAATTGGTAGAAAAAAATAAAAAATAGGATTACTTTCTCTAAAAATATTTTGGGAAAATTTAAAAGTAATGTTTGAAGCTTATGGAATATTTTTTTTTTCTTTATTAAGCTTATTTCTAGATATTTTATTTTTTTGGTTGCATTTGCAAAGGAATTGCAGAGGGGTTTTTTTCCATTTTTTTCCCTGAAGTTTCATTGTTAGTATGTAGGAAATTAATGGATTTTTTTTGATGAGATAATTTTTTGAAGAGCATTTAAATTTATTTTTTAGGGAGGGGGGAAGGGAGTGAGAGACAGAAACATCAATGAGTGAGAGAAACATCATCAATTGGCTGCCTCTCACACACCGCGTCAGAGGACATGATGTGCAACCCAGGCATGTGCCCTGACCAGAAATTGAACAAGCGACCTTTTGATTCCAGGCTGGCACTCAACTCACTGAGCCATACCAGCCAGGGCAAGAAGGTAGTGGATTTTTGTACATTGATTTTTGTATCCTGCAACTTTATTGTGTTTGTTTATTGTTTCTATTAGTCTTTTGGTAGAGTCTGTAGGGTTTTCTATATGCAGAGTCATACCATCTACAAAAAGTGACACTTTTACTTCTTCATTCCCAATTTGGATACCTTTTATTTCTTTCTCCTCACTGATTGCTCTGGCTAGGACTTTCAAAACTACATTGAATAAGAGTGGTTAGAGTGGGCATCCTTGTCTTGTTCCTGATTTTAGAGGAAAAGCTTTCTGTTTTTCACCATTGAGTATGATATGGGCTGAGGGTTTCATTAATGGCCTTTATTACGTTGAGGTACTTTACTTTTATACCCATTTTATTGAGTGTTTTAGTCTTAAATGGATGTATCATATTAAATGCTTTTTCTGCATCTGTTGAAAGGATCATATAATTTTTATACTTTCTTTTGTTAATGTGATGCATTACATTGATTAATTTGTGTATGTTGAACCATCCTTGTGCCCTTGGAATAAACCCCACTTGATCATGATATATTATTTTTTAATATATTGCTGTCTTTGATTTGCTGGTATTTTGTTTAGGTGTTTTGCATCAGTATTCATCAGAGATATTGGTCTGTAGTTTTATTTTTTTGTGTCATCCTTGCAAGATTTTGGTATCATGATTATGTTGACCTCATAAAATGTGTTAGAAAGTGTTGCCTCTTCTTCAGTTTTTTAGAAGAGTTTGAGGAGGATAGGTATTAAATCTTCTTTAAATGTTTGTTAGAAATCAGTAGTGAAGCCATCTGGTCCTAGACTTCTATTTGTTAGGAGGTTTTTGGTGGTTGTTTCAATTTTCTTATTGTTTATTGGTCTATTCAGAGTTAGCAGTTTTTCATAATTCAATCCAGGAAGGTTATAAATTTCTAGGAACTTATGCATTTCTTCTAGGTTAATTGAATTTGGTAGCATACAGTCTTTTATATTATTCTAGTATGATCCTTTGTATATCTGTGGTATTTGTGGTAACTCCTCTTTTGTTTCTGATTTTAGGAGTCTTTTTTTCTTAGTGAGTCTAGCTAGCCTGGGGTTTGTCAATTTTATTAATCTTTCAAAGAACCAGCTCTTTCTTGTATTTTTTGAATAGTATTTTTGTTCTCTATTTCATTCAGTTCTGCTTTAATTTTTATTATTTCCTTTCTTCTGCTGGCTTTGGATTACTCCTGTTCTTTTTCTAGTGCTTTAATATTTCATGTTAGGTTGATTACTTGGGATTTCTCTTGTTTCTTTTTTTTTAATGTATTAGGATGACATTGATTAATTGGGTCATATAGGTTTCAAGTGTACGTGTTTATGGTACATTACCAGTACATTGCATTTGTGTGACCCAAAGTCAAGTCATCTGCTGTCACTATATTTGGGCCCCTTTACCCTTTATTACCCTCCTCCACCCCTTTCCCTCTTGTAATCACCATACTGTTGTCTGTCTTATGTCTTTGAGTTTCCATTTTATACCACACCTATGAGTGAACTCATATGGTTCTTAGCTTTTTCTGACTTATTTTACTTAGCATAATATAATTAAGGTCCATCCATGTTGTCACAAATGGCAGTATTTCATCTCTTCTCCTGGCTAAGTAGTAGTCCATTGTTATATGTACCATTTTTTTTAATCCAGTCATCTATCCAAGGACACTTTAGTTATCTCTATTTCTTGGCAATTCAACTAAGGAATCCAGCCTCTTATTCTACTTCAGTGATTAATTTATAGAAAAAATAAAAAATGAGATTATTTTTTCTAAAAATATTTTTGGAAAATTTAAAAATAATGTTTGAAGCTTATTGAATGTTTCTTCTTTGTTAAGCGTATTCCTAGATATTTTATTCTTCTTGAACAGTGCTGCAGTGAACATAGGGGCACATGCATCTTTGCAAATAAAATGTTTTCAAGTTTTTCACGAAGATACCCAGGAGAGGGATTGCTGGGTCATATGGTAACTCTATTCTTAGTTTTTTGAGGAACCAGCAAACTGTTTTTCATAGCAGCTATACTAGTTTACATTCCCACCAGCAGTGAATTTTCCTACCATTTCAATTTCTTTTAGAAGAACCCTTTTAATTTCGATGCTTAGGGCATTGGACTCAGAAGTCTAGCCTCTGATTCTACTGTAATTATTGGTAGAAAAAATGAAAATAGGATTATTTTGGGAAATTTAAAAATGTTTAAAGCTTATTAAACTTTTTGGCAAGTTGTCTTTTCTCATAGTACGTCTATTAATATTTTCTTTTTATTCCTATATTGGAAGAATTTTAAGTGTTAATATGACACCTTGGCACTTAATAACCTAGGCAGCTTCCTACTACTGCGCATAGGTTTACAAATCATTCTGTTGGGTCTCAGAATTATGTAATCCTGAATGTATCAGGGTTGGAACCTAAAGTCAGTCTCTTTTCAGAACCAGTGGAATCAGAATGAAGCTATTACCAAGATACCAGAAGACCTATATAATACATGTTTTGGAATCAGTTTGATCAGATGCTAATAAAGCAGTTTCTATTTTTTTTTGCATAGTCTTTTGAGTTATGTGTACTTTATTATTTTCCCCTCACTTTCAGTCTGACAAGGAATGATTCGAGTAATCTTCAATACATTTTTATATTATAATCTTGAACAGTTTAATTGGTATTTTGAAAATAGGATATTCTTTTAAATAATTCCATCACAATTTATATTATTTTCTTCTAGTTTCTTTGGAACAGTATAAAATAAAAATATTATCCTAAATAGATATTTTTATATTTTTTCTTATTTTCTCTTTTCATTATCTTTTTTTTGATCTGATATCCTATGTATTCTATCTACTACTTAGGTCATTTAATTTTAATTCTCATAAAATTACTGTAGATATATATGAAATGTACAGAATCAGTGAAAATCCTGTACATTTTTATAATTAAATGCTACTATAAACTATGGAATTATCCTTGGACACAGTCATAATTTTTTTACCGCTGGGTGGGACTACAGGTATTCAATTTATCAGTAATCATCTTGTCCAGCATCATTTTACAGATAGTTTAAAGCATGCAACCTGGGAATTTTACAGTAATTCTCTAACTTTTATCTTTTTGAAATAGGATGTAAGCTGCAATGAAATTCAAACAATACCTTCCCAAATTGGTAATTTGGAGGCCTTGAGAGATCTTAATGTAAGAAGAAATCACTTAGTACGTTTGCCCGAAGGTAAGAAATTGTGAAATAAATGTTTTATTATTATTTGACTTTTTATTTTAAAGATCTTTCAGACTGATAGGCACAAGACAAAAATGTATAGAGTTACAGTCAATGTTTAAGATTTAATGGTCTATTTAATATTATCTTTTCCACTGTGAATTTTAAAAGTTAGACTCTTCAGTGAACAGTTCCAATAACTATTGACCAATGATTGTATTTTTAAACCCTGTGAACTATATAATTGGTAACACAGGGTAGGGTCTCTGGAAGTTTTAGTAAACATAACTACTTGGGAGACATACAACATATTTGTTGTATCGTTTCATAACATGAAAAACATTTCTGGGGATCGTTTCATAACATGAAAAACATTTCTGTAATTAGCTCCAACTTTAAAATGGACTTGACTTGAACTAATAACTTTATCCTTCACTGAAAATGTTCAAGTAGAGGCTAAATGACCATTTGTTCATGATGAATAGAGTGAGAGACTATAACCAGTCTCCGTCTAGTTATCCTGGGCTCTAAGCTCTGGTGTATGTATTTGAATGGTAAAAATGATTAAGCAAGTTAATTAAGTATAATTAACAATCTTTTAAAAACACAAATTTATGAAAGAAAAAGCTATAAAAGAAGTGAAAATAAGAAGAACCAGTGTTTTATTAGATAAGATATTTATTTAATTTTATTATGGAAAATTTCTTATAAATAAGTGAGAGCACTGAATCACCCAGCTACACGTCATTAGCTCATGGCAACTCTTGTTTCATCTATACTCCCATCTACTTTCCCTTACTCTATCCTCTAGATTAATTTGAAACAACTTACAGAAATGCATCTGCAGACATTTCAGAATATATATCAGAAAGATAAGAAACATTTGAAAGGTATTTTTATGACAGTGATTCTGTAAATTCTTTGACAAAACATGACTTCCAGTGTATAGTAAATATCATGATACTTTTAAATTACTGTAGAATCCAAATGTTTATACCCGTTTGATGCAGTATGGTATTTAATGGAGACACTAAATCATACAGAAGTGTGCTATTTAGTTCTAACATACTAGTGTAGCTTACTGCAACCCTAAATCCAGCATTTCTTTCCTCTCAACTAGGTTTGTTCAGTTACCCTGCATCTTATATCTTTAGAGCCTTCCTGATTTTTCCCTCGTTCTGCCTTCTGTCACCTCAGGAATGTGAATGAAGGCCTCAACAGAACTGACCAAAATCATGACAACAGGGTCTTGTAGCCCCAAATTTTTATCTAGGATTGCCCTTTTTCTCAGGACCCACCTACTGTGGTTGATCTTTAAAGTCTTACTAATGTAATAATACAGACTTGATGTGAAAATCAGTTAATGAAAACATTGGGGTTTTGGTTGGAAATGAAAATTTGGGGTTTCAGATGACACTGCAGTGTAATAGTTCTGTTATCTAATATGTTCCCATATCATATCTGGAATGTGTATTAAGAAAATTGTGAACTTACCAAATAGTGTCCCATGGTTTTTTTAAAAATTGATTTCAGAAAGTGGGGTGGGGGGTGGACAGACACATCGATTTGTTGTTCCACTTATTTATGCATTCATTGTTTGCTTCTTATATGTGTCCTGATCAGTGATTGAACACGCTGCCTTGGCATATTAGGATGACACTCTAACTGACCTACCCAGCCAGGGCTCAGATGGTTTTTTAGAGTCAGTTTATTTTGTAATCTCAGCATATTCAGTTAAATTTAGATGGCAAGAAAGCTTTATTCTGACTGCTGCACAAGTTAGAGTAGAAGTTCATGTTAATTAATTAAACATTATAATTCAGTAGATAAAATAATTGCATCCTTTGTTATATTGCCATTTGGTTTTAAATTAATTATGTTTATCAAATAATGTATCATCCAAAAAGCAAGTAGTATTAAAAAGCTTAAAATAAATAATAGCATTTCCCCTACCTCAGCCATCTGCCTCCCCAAATTCAATGGCCACAAGCATCTGCTTTCAATTCCTTTGACGCTTCCTTCTGATGTTTGTTGACATATTTCTTATGATATGTTTTCACATCATTATTGCTGAATTTACCAACTTTTTGACACTTAATGTCAGTTTTCTCTAATGGTAGGTGACGATTAAACTTCCTTACATTATCACCATCATACCTTTATTTTATTTATCTTCCCAGTGTAGTTTTATTACAATTTTTTATTAAATTGCTATTCATTGTTTACATTATTATAACTGTATAAATATTGTTCCCTGCCAGTTAATGTACTCTGATTTCACTTTCTTCCTTGTACATCTTGGTTTTGTTGTTTTTCTGGAGTTAATAATTTTTCTGTTTCTTTTAATTTGCTTGTTTTTTTTTGTGTACCTATGGTTAATTCTTCCCCTATTTTTCAAGCAGCCTCATTAGTCAAACTAATCAGATTGCCTACCACTTCTTTACTCCCAGCGTGTCTTCCTCATTGATCCTTTTTTCCTTATCTTCCAGTCTGGGCTGTTTGTTCTGTTATTGCTACCCAGCTTTCTTTGTTCTTTATTGAATACTCTTATTCCTACACTCCATCTCTTTCTCTTTCTTTGTTCTTTAAGAAATTTAAGTTTTATTGAAGTATAATTGACAAATAATTCCTCTTTCTTACTTTACTCATTTTGGTGGAGAGCATCTTTTAGTGGCTTCTAGTAGGAAAACTTTTTTTGGATATTTCACTTGAAAAGAAATATCTTCATTCTATACTCACTCTTGATTAATAATTTGGTTATATATTCTAGGTTGAAAATTATTTTCTCTCAGGATTTTCAGGTCTTTTTTCACTTTTAGCTTTCATTGTTAAAAATTAATGGTTGAAAATTTGATGCTATTTCTCAGGAATCTGTTGTGGTTTTCTTCTGCCAATTTACTATGACTTTGTATGTGCCGCCGCCACCACTCCCCCTGTGGAGGTGGTGAGGGGGCCACAAGGCCCTGCCTGCTCCATTTTTTCTATCTTGGAACTATGTCAGATAAAAATCATTTGTTCGTTTAATTTGGGGGGGAAAAAAAGGAAAGAAAAGAAAATTTGATGCTATTCCTAATTCCAGTCCATTTTTTGTGGCTCATTTTTTTTCTTCCAGAAGATTTTAAGATCTTCCCCTTTTTTCTATTGCTCTGAATTTTATAATGATATGCTTTTTGGGTTTGTTTTTTGTTTTTTAGAGAAGGGGCAGAAAGGGGGAAAGCGAAGGAGAGAAACGTCAATGTGTAAAAGTAACATCAATTGGTTGCCTCTTGCACGTGCCTTACAAGGGACCTGGCCTACAACCCAGGCAAATGCCCTAACTAGGAATCGAGCTGGTGACCTTTTACTTTGAGGGACAATGCCCAACCAACTGAGCCACACCCGTCAGGGCATAAGTTGGGGGGGGGTGTGGGTGTGGGTGTGGGGGGGTGTGGGTGTGGGTGTGGGGGTGTGTGTGTGTGTGTGTGTGTGTGTGTGTGTGTGTGTAGATTTTATTTATTTATTTATTTTCAGGAAGAGAGAGAGAGAATCATCAATGTGTAAAAGAAACATAGATTGGTTGCCTCTCACAGGCACCCCAGTGGGGGACTGGGCCTGCAACCCAGGCATATGCCCTGACCAGGAATCGAACCAGCAACCTTTCACTTTGCGGGACAGCATTCGGCCAACTGAACAATGTGCAGTCAGGGCAGTATAAGTTGTTTTAATTCAATGTACTAGATACTTGGTGGGCTCCTTCCAAACCAGATACTCACATTCTTCATTCTGGAAAATTGTCTCACATTTCAATTTTTTAAAAGATTTTATTTATTTATTTTTAGAGGGGAAGGGAGGGAGAAAGAAAGAGAGAGAAATATCAATGTGTGGTTGCCTCTCATGTGCCCCCTACTGGGGACCTGGCCCACAACCCAGGCATGTACACTGTCTGGGAATAGAACCAGCAATGCTTTGGTTTGCAGTCCGGGGCTCAGTCCACTGAGCCACACCAGCCACATCTTACATCTCATTTTTTTAAAGTACGTTTTTATTTTTTTTTTAATTATCATACCGTAAAATTGACTTCTTGAGTGGGAATAGTGCAGCTCTATGAATTTTAACTCATTTTTTTCATGCAACCATCACCACCACAATCAGGGTACCTAAGTATTCCATCACTTCAAAAAAACTCCCTTTATCATTACACCTACCCCTTACCTCTTACCTCTGGCAACTATTGATCTGTTCTTCATTTTTATAGCTTGTCTTTTCTAAAATATCAGATAAATGGACTTACACATGCATTTTCAGTTTGACTTCTTCCACCCAATTTAAAACTTCTCCATGTTTGATATTTCATTTTTCAGAAAATTTTTGACCCATACACCTGAATTGATCAGTAATACCTTTCAGATGATCATACATAATCATGTTAAGCTTCTTGGCTATATGGAAGTTAAAATATCTTGAAGGGCCTGGCAGCCAGGCAGACACTGTGACCACACGGGCTGCCCAGCCTGGCCGCCGCCACCCCGCACCTCTGACGGGGCCGCCTCTCCTTATCTCTTTTTGTTTTTTATGATTTCCTGTCTTCTGGTTTCTTTGTTTTCTCTTTCTAGATTTTTTATGAGTTGGAGGTTGTAACCCTTTAATTGATCCTATGACTTATCTTTTTTTGTTTACTTCTTTGTCATTTTGCTTTATGAAGTGGTATACAGTCTAACCATTCTCCTGAATTTTTAGTTTCTGCCATCATATTTTTCATTTACACAAATGCTTATTATTCTGTGATTTTTTTAAAACATTTCTCTCTTGTTTTAGTAACTCAGCATCCTAACTCTCTGAAGTTAGTTATTAGTTTCAGTTTTTCAAACTCTTCTTTTGTTTCCTATACATTACCTATTTCTTCTGAGTTCCTCTTTTCAATTGGTTTGTGTGTCTTGATTTCTGTCTTACATGTTGGAAGCTATTCTAAATGTCTGTGGATCGTGAACTGTCAGTATAGAGCCAATTAAAAATTTCAAGCCTACTGGGCAGGATTGTGTAATTGTAATTAAGCAGCAAGCTGGCTATTTTGAAGGGAGGGGAGACTCCATATCAGTATCTAAAGGCCTTTTATATTGGACTATATAGTTTCTCCAGAGAATGATTTATTTCTTCTACATTGTTGTGTATATTCCTAATTACCAGCATTCAAGAGCTAGAGTTGGGACAGGACTGGGCAGGAGAGTGCTATGGTCTTGCCATTAAGCATGTAGACTTTCACTTAAATTTTCCATTTTAACAAGCCACTCATTCTGACTTTCTGTTTTGCGTGGGATCCCTGAGTTCAGAGCCTTTCAATTCAATTGCTCTGGAGAATAACTTGTTGACTTCTGTGGTGATTGGAGACGGATAGGACCTGGCTGTAAGGAGTCCAGTAGCTTGCTCTTCATTAGTATTCCTGTCTGTAAACATCTAAATTTTATTTTATACCACTTTGCTCTATCAGTTAATTACTAAGAAAGAATGAAAGTGAATACGTTAAATCCACTAACTAGAAGCTTCTGTTAAAATTGTCTAGTTTAGAAATATTAATTGTTGATTTCCATTTTATCTCTTTGCAGAGCTGGCAGAGTTGCCTTTAATACGTTTAGACTTCTCCTGCAATAAAATTACAACAATCCCTGTTTGTTACCGGAACCTAAGGCACCTACAAATGATTGCCCTAGATAACAATCCATTACAGTCTCCTCCTGCACAGGTAAACAAACTATCATTGATTTGAAGTATGTTAATGAACTTTTTTGGCAAAGGATGAAACTTTAAACTTAAGTTATATACATTTATCTTTTTGTTGAAAATTAAGTTCTTTTAAAATAAATTCACACTTGGTCATTCATTAGAAGCCAAACAGTGGAAGATAAGTACTGTTTCCAGAAGTGTTTTTTTCCTTTCATTAAATTGACTTTTTAAAAAAAAATTGTAGGATTCTTCCTTAAAGTTTTTTCTAGGAAATGAGTTAATTTTTTTCTGGTAAAACTTGAATGTATACAATGTAAATGCTAGAGACAAATAAAAATACTTAACTTTCAAAACTAAAGATTATCAGTACCTTTCTTCCAACCATTGTTCTTGTACCTTCCCATTTTGTAAAGTCGTAAATTCCTATTTTATTTAGTTTGGTCATTTGTTTAGCAGTGACTGAAATAAATCTATTTAATAAGTATCTAAATATTTCCAGGCTGTAGCTTTTTTACTCTTCAGAAATTGGTTGATGGTTATAAGCCTCTGTATGGCAAATATAAAACTTTATGATTAAACCTCATCACTATAGAAGGTTCTCATAATGCTGAAGTATTTATGTCTTGACTTCTGGGACATAAGTCAAGATTTAGCAACAGAAATATCTATAGCTTTAACATTTAAACATTTCCTGCTTTTCTCTCTGGCAGAAAGTAGGATTGAAAACATAATTGTACATGCTCGTTGCATTCCTAAAAGCAAAAGTTGTTGATATAATCCATGTGGGAGCAACGCTTTAAATTCCTGGCTATGCCTAACTAACCAGTGTGATAAGTTTACTTGATGTTCTCTTTGTAATCATAAATTATATATTACTGAAACTTAGTGTCTAGAAAATAAAACCTGTATTTATATCACTTAAGTACATAAAATAAGAAATAATATTTGTTAAAGTATTAGATTTTTAATATTACTGTATGTACTAAATAGAAATGCCTTCTATATCTAATGTACATTAAGTAAAAAGCTGATTGTGATTAAAAAGGAACAGATGAGTATTTTGATTGCATATGTGTTACTTTATTTAGATATGTATAAAAGGCAAAATCCACATATTTAAGTACCTGAACATACAGGCTTGTAAGATTGCTCCAGATCTGCCAGATTATGATAGGAGACCATTGGGCTTTGGCTCCTGGTGAGTACGTTCTATTGTTTGTTTGTTTTTTTGTTTATCATATTCCATCTCACAAGAAATGAAATACACTAGACCCTTAAATCTGCCTGAATATTTGACTAGAGGGAAACAACCTATTTTGATACTGTTTTTCTCAGAATGCTTGTATTAAGTAAAACGTTGATGACTTAGATGTGGCAAAGTGTAGTTCTTCAGGATTTCTCAGCCTCAACACTGTTATTTTGGACCAGGTAATTCTTTGTTGTTACGAGCTGTCCTTTAAATGGAAGATATTTAGCAGCATCCCTGGCTTTTATTGTACTCTCCCAGTATGGCAAACAAAAATATTAATATCTCCAGACATTGCCAGATATCCCCTGGGGAGTTCTGCAGTTGGAAATCACTGGTCTGATTGACTTGGATACGAACCTTGGTTCTGCTGTTAACTAGGAAACTGTGTGTGCTTCATTTTTCTTATAGGGAATCAAGAGGTTAAATATGATGACTACTGATGTCACTTTGGCGTCTTTTTGGTTGTGAATTCCTCGGCTCTATAACACCTGACTTACAAGGTCATCTACTTGGCATTCCCAACCATCTGGAACAATCTTAAATAGCAGGAATTAAATTCAAAAGGCTTTAAACAGGCAAAATTAATGTCTCAGTGAAGGTGAAGTAATGCTCATAGACTTGACTCAAAAGAGAACCTCTATAACCTTCCCTTAGAATCTGTCACATTTTCCATAAAAGCAGAGTCCTAATGAGCTTGCTTCTTGATATCTTAACAAATTTCTATTTTAGTAGAATTTGGCAGGCATATTAAAAGTATAAAAAGTAACATGAGGGGGAAAAAAATAACTAAACAGCAGATACATATTAAAAAATTCAAGTTAGTGGTTAATTCTTGAGAGGAAGGAAGATTCAGTGTGAAAGAGGTTGCGGGGTCTTTAAAGGTATCAGTAATGTTTCATCATGTTTTAAAAGCTTTGTCTGTTGTATTCTTTTTTATCTCTATGATATATATTGTAATTTTAATAAGATTTAAAAACAATGAAGCTCTATAAACAGCAATTTGGCACCATTTGGAATATTTGCAAAGAACCTTCCATATTTTAAGTTATTATTATATTTTAGCACAACATAATCATGCTTATTAAGAAAATGCTAAGGTTTATTAAGGTGTGTCATTTGCAATAAAGGGAAATATGCCTTGGAACTTTTAATCAGAAACTATTAGAATTAAATATTTAAATGTTTATGGTATAAAGAGGTAATCTCAAGCTACTTGAAAATTTTACTTACACGGAACATGATTTCTCAAGTATGTTAGGTATTTCTCCATAGAGATTTGATTTCTGCACTTCGCCACAGACCATGCCTTTCTTACTCATTACTAGGACAACTGAATGTTTGGCACACACAGGAGATACTCAACAAGTATTTACTGAATGAATGAACAGTCAGTTTGGTTATATAAATATTAATTCCTTCCTAGTTTTCCTCTACTTTAAAGTCATCAGAAACAACTTGGCAATGACATTCTGGGTTTCTTCATTTATTTTTTCTACTACCTTATTTAATTGCTTGTAATATAGAATTCTTATTTCTCTTTCTGTAGTGTTTTTTATTTTTATTTTTTTAAATATACTTCATTGATTGTGCTGTTACAGTTGTCCCAATTTTTTCTCTTTGTCCCCCTATGCCCAGTATACCCCCATTCTCTCCAGCTGTCCCCCCCAACCTTAGTTCATGTCCACGGGTTGTGCATATGTTTTTTCACTTCCCCATTTCCGATACTATTCTTAACATCCCCCTGTCTATTTTGTACCTACCAATTCTGCTTCTTAATCCCTGTATCTTGTCCCCCATTCATTCCCTTCCCCTTCCCTCTGATCTCCATGTCTATGATTCTGTTCCTGTTCTAGTTGTTTGCTTAGTTTGTTTTTTGTTTTTAGGTTCAGTTGTTGATAGTTGTGAGTTTACCGTCATTTTATTGTTCATAGTTTTTTATCTTCTTTTTCTTAAATAAGTCCCTTTAACATTTCATATAATAATGGCTTGATGATAATGAACTCCTGTAGCTTTGCCTTGTCTGGGAAGCACTTTGTCTGCCCTTTGATTCTAAATGATAGCTTTGCTGGATAGAGTAATGTAGGTTGTAGGTCCTTGCTTTGCATCCCTTTGAATACTTCTTGCCAGTCCCTTCTTGCCTGCAAAGTTTCTTTTGAGAAACCAGCTGACAGTCTTATGAGAACTCCTTTGTAGGTAACTCTCTGCTTTTCTCTTGCTGCTTTTAGATTCTTTATCTTTAACCTTTGACATTTTAATTATGATGTGTCTTGGTGTGGTTCTCTTTGTGTCTGTCTTGCTTGGGACTCTCCATGCTTCCTGGACTTGTATGTCTATTTCCTTCACCAAATTAGAGAAGTTTTCTTTTATTATTTTTTCAAATAAGTTTTCAATTTCTTGCTCTTCCTCTCCTTCTGTCATCCCTATGATTCAGATGTTGGTATATTTAAAGATGTCCCAAAGGTTCCATACACTATCCTCGTTTTTGTTTTTCATTCTTTTTTTTTTCTTTCTGTTCTGATTGAATGCTTATTTCTTCCTTATGTCCAAATTGTTAATTTGAATCCTGGCTTCATCCCCTGCACTGTTGGTTCCCTATAGATTTTTCTTTATTTCAATTTGTATAACCCTAATTTCCTCTTGGGTTTTTTCACTTTGTTTCCATACTCAATAGGCCCTTTGAGCATCCTTCTAACCACTGTTTTGAACTCTACATCTGATAGGTTGGTTATCTCCATTTCACTTAGTTCTTTTTCTTGTGTTTTGTTCTCTCCTTTCATTTGGGTCATATTTCTTTGTCTCCTCAATTTGGCAGTCTCCCTGTGTTTGTTTCTATGTATTAAGTAGAGCTGCCTTGACCCCCTGTCTTAATATTATGGCCTGTTGTATAAAACTCATCTGCTAATTGTGTGGGGCAGAGCCTTAGGTGATCGCCAGGGCAGGGCTACCCACTTCACTGCTCTGTGGCTCTGTGTCAAGGGAGGGCTCGGAGAGGGGACAGTGCTGCTGCCTGGCTTCTGGAGGTTTGCCCAGCACTTAAAGGGTACCACGTATGTGACTGGTACCCTTCCCACTGTTGCCCTGATACTGAATTTCAGAGGAAGTGGATCTGTGTGCATTCTAAGTCCATGTGGGCCCTTTAAGCAGAGTCACCTGAAATTCCATCCATTTTTTTCTACCATCCCCACCCCTGCTGGTTTTTACAGCTGGAAGTTATGGGGATTTATCTTCCAGGCACTGGAACCCTGGGCTGTATGGTCTGGCCTGGGCCTGGGATCTCACCACCGAGTTATCCCCTCTGGATTCTACCCACCACGTGTGAATGTGGGACTGCCCATGCCACCGCCACCACCTCTTCATGCCACAGCATGTTCCGGTGCCTCTCCACCTGTCCCTGCCCCTCTTACCTGTCTGGATATATGTGGCTTCTTGAGATCCTTGGTTGTCAGACTTCCATATAGCTCGATTTTTTGATGGTTCTGGGTCTTACTTGTTTTGAGGTCTAGTTGTAATTCTTTCTGAAGTTGCGCAAGGAGGCGAAACACATTTACCTATGCCTCCATCTTGACCAGAAGTCTAGAACTCTTATTTCTTATTGAAGTTTTGTTTTTGCTATTTAAAATTTTCATTAAAACTGTTCTGCTCCTATATTCTTAGAAGATATACAACAAATAAAAGTAGCTTTTATTTTATATATACATTAATTGATTTTCTCCCTTGGAGTTAGTAATTCTTGCTAAGAATAAAATTTTTTCCTTCATGAAATATAGAATAGGAAAATTAAACTGCTACCTGTGTGTTTTGAGTGTAAGACAATTAATAGTGAATTCTGGCTAGGCATATGTGAGGGTATGCCTAAAGAAACTAAGGAGGAAGCATCATCACCTATATGAATAATGAGCTTTAACTAAGTGCATTGCTAAATATGAGACCTGTGATTCTGTCATTTGTCTTGGCCCAATTTTTTTTTCACTATAGCAATCCTCATCATATTACTTTAAAAAGATATATTTAAAAAACCTGGGAACAGACTTATGTGTTTCTAAGAGATGAAAGAAAGCTTGAATCAATGGAGAAAACTCCAAAATGGGAAGTCTAAGTAGCATAAATATGTTATGTCTCTCAAGGAATTAGTAATTGTAGACCTGATGTACTGCAGTCCCTATAATAATTCTTTTTTTATAAAGCTTTTTTAAAAAATTGATCTTGGGGGAAGGAGGGAGAAGGGGGAGTGGTGAGGGGTTGGGGAGAGAAACATTGCTATGTTGTTTCACTTATTTATGCATTTATTGGTTGCTTCTTGTATGTGCCCTGACTGAGGATCAAACCCCCACAACCTTGGTGTATCAGGACAACGTTCTAACCAACTGAGCTACTCAGCCAGGGCTTTATAATTCTTAATGATGCTCACTAGATTTATCTGTATTCTATATTTTCCGTTTATTCCGGAGCTATGCTACTTTATTTGTAATGGTTTCAGAATGTGCTAGAAATTTAAAAATATACATATATATACACATATATATATAGAAAATTTATATCTTTATATATACTATAAAAAATATTTCCTTCAACTCCTCATGCACCGGTGAATAAGGTAGTATAACTTTGTCTTTCTGACTATGGTACGGATTAGTGAAATTGCATTGTAACTGGCAGTAAGTGAATTTATTCAGAATTCCATCATGTAATCAGAAAGTTTTGGTTCTAGTAGTAGATCCTGTACTTTTGGGCAGTTCACTTTACCTTTTTGAATCTCAATGTCTTCTATATGATCTTTACTCTGTTTATACCCTAACAATAGTTCTGAGGATCAAAAGACCTATGTGTGAAAGTGCTTTACAGATCAGAAAGCCTTATAGAAATATTAGTTGTCATAGTTACTAGCTCTATGCTGTAATCTAGAGCCAATTTAATCCTAAGTGTCCTGTCTTATTAAAGAGAATTTTTAT